CAAATAGAAGAAGCTTTATGATAATCACAAGAACCGCCTGCCCGGGCACCCTCCCCCCCTGACAGACGCTGCTCGCCGGCTTCGGGCTCCCGACCATCGGCTACCTGAGCGGCTTCCTGATGGCCAAGCTGTTCCGGCTGCCCATGCAGGACGTGATCGCCATCAGCATCGAGACCGGGGTTCAGAATGCCACCGTGGCCATCTTCATCCTCAAGTTCACCCTCGAGAAGCCCGCGGGAGACCTGACCGTCGGTGAGTGCCAAGGGCCTCGTCAGCGGGGCCATCAATCATGATTATTATCTTTACTATTATTATTATTATTATTATTATTATTTTCATTATTTTTGATATTATTTTTATTGTTACCATTATTATCATCATCATTATCATTATTATCATTATAATCATTATTGTCATTACCATTACAATTGTCATTATCATCACCATCATTTTTATCAATATCATTATCATTATTATTAACTGAACTTAGTTCACTGTATTTTTTCTTTCTCTTTTTAGGGCGAAAATGCTTCTTGAAATATTGATGATGAACATCGATTTGTTTCAGATAATAATCACCACAAGATGTCACATTATTATTACTTCTCAGCCATCCTCGCTTTTCGTCGTCATTTTATTCATCTCACTGTTATTCCCGTTTTTCTCGTTATCTTTACATTATATCCCCTATTAGTTGTCCCCGCCTTTCATTATCATCAAATCATATCAACTTACCACTTTAACGGCTTTACTGCCTACCTTTATATTCACGAACCCTCTCCGTCTACCCTCGCTACTTTACCTACATACCTTTCTACCTTTATATTCACGATCCCTCTCCGTCTACCCTCAGTGTTCCCCGCTGCGTCGGCGGTGATGACTCCGCTGCCGCTCTTCCTCGCGCTCATCGCTAAGAAAATCTATTCCTGTACAGCCAAGTCCAAGTCGGCGGATATAGCTCCTTTAGAGGGGAAGGTGAGGGGAAAGACAAGGAAGAAGGTGTTGAGGGGAAGGATAGGACAGTGAGGAGGAAGATGAAAAAAAAAAGGTTTTGAGGGGGAAAGATAAGATGGGTGTCGAGGAGGAAGATAGAATAGGTGTCGAGAGGAAGGATAAAAGAAGGAAAAGGAATCACATATTAGTACATGTCAAATCATATGCAGTGTCATACGTACATCATGTCAAGCACTTCCACTAACACACTTTTCTAACATTACTGTCTTCTCTCTCAGGCTGGTTTGGAAAACAAGAAGAGCATTAAAAAGAATGAAAAAGGAGACAACACACAGAAGGAAATGAAGAAGCAACCCGAAGGAGGTGTTGATAATCCAGCTGTGCAGTTGCAGGATGAAGCTGTGTAGCAAGACAGAAGAAAATCGTGTTGCGCTGATGTGGACGGGTACTTGTGTGCGTGTTGATGTGTGCACATTCGTGTGTACGTGTGGTATTTGTAAATTATTTGTGATTATATAATTATTTTATGCATATTTGAATGTATATTTGTTTTATTAGAGATGTATGGTTATATATGTGGTATTATTAGTTTAATAAAATTATTTAAAGAAAATCCGCCCATATTTTCATGCCCACTGTAAATGTCTAAAATTACTGTGCATTTTTCATCATATATACAGTTTATCGTTTAACAGTTTGTTTTAGAATACTTTAAAATAGGTTTTGATTTTCATAAAAAAATGTTTGCTAATAACACACACACACACACACACATATTTATATGTATAAATACTCTCTTTCTGTTTCTTTCTCTCTCTCACTCATTCTCTATCTATATTTCGCAGTCTCTCATTCTCCCTCTTGCTTTCCCTTCCCTTTATCCCCTCTCTTTCTCTTATCTCTCTCTTTCAGAGGCGTCATTTCAGCTTTTTCTTAGGGGGGGGGGGTAAGGTTGGCAAGCGAACTGAGCACAACCAGTTTCTGGGGCGCTATGAGGCCCCGAGAGTTATTATTATTTTTTTTATTAATTAGCTAATTTAGGAGCATTTTTAAGCTACGATCAGAGCCACCCCCAAATAACGCCACCGCTCTCTCTCTCTCGTCCTTTCTTTCTATTCAAGAAGCATTTTCAAGCTACGATTAATGATTCCCCTGCTCTCTCTCTCTCTCTTCCTCTCCCTGTCTCTCCTTTTCGCTTTCCCTCTCCCACACCCCGCTCTCTCTCTCTCTTTCTCCCCCCTCTCTTTATCTTTCTCCTTCCACCCACCCCTCTCTGTCAGCGTCTCTCATTTGGATCACAAGAGAGTTAATACCACATTAAATATGCTCCTTACAGACAGGACATTTCTATTTAACTATATACAGATGAGCACAAAAAGCATAAGATGCTTAAATTGGTCAGCACTTATTTTTTGAGCTGCCGTGGTTGGTGTTTTCGTAAAAATGTATCAGTTTTCATCCTCGCTATGAAGTGAGAGGTTTTATTACCCTGGTTATGACATACACACATCCTCAGATTACAGTAACGACATATTTTTTTTGTTAT